CTCCAAGCTATTGCAGTGGCAGGACACTAGCAGTACCCTTTATCTATGACATGTTAAAGGGTGTTCTGGTTTTTGTGCCTGGTTAGTTGTGCCTGAAGATTTGAAGTGATGATTTTGGGAAAACCTTGGGTAAAGGGCTGATAATGGAGACTGGATTAAGTAGATCAGGATGTCCCTTCCAGTCTTATGTTTCTATTAGTTCAGGAAAAAAGTCTCATGTTTTAAGATCCAGAAGTCCTGAATTTAATACATCTGCCAGCAACCTTTCAAAAAAGGGAAGAAAGAGGACCCAGGAAACTATAGGCCCATTAGTCTTACCTCAGTCCTGGGGAAGCTCTTTGAGAAAATGATCCAAGAGCACATCTGCAGGGGACCAGCAGGGGAGATTATGCTTAGGGGGAATTAACATTGGTTCATTAGAGGCAGATCCTGTCAGACTAACCTGGTAGCCTTCTATGACCAGGTTACAAAAGCCTTGGATGCAGGTGTCGCGGTGGATGTTGTCTTTCTGGACTTTAGGAAGGCCTTCCACACTGTCTCTCACCCCATCCTCATTAAAAAATTAGGCGATTGTGGTGTCGATGCCTACATAGTCGGATGGGTCACACATTGGCTGAAGGGCTGTACCCAGAGAGTGGTGGTGGATGGGTCATTTTTGACCTGGAGGGATGTGGGCAGTGGGGTTCCCCAGGACTTGGTCCTTGGGCCTGCACTGTTCAGTATCTTCATCAGCAACTTGGACGAGGGGGTGAAAAGCACCTTGTTCAAGTTCGCAGATGACACTAAGATGTGGGGAGAAGTGAGCACGCTATAAGAGAGGGACAGGCTACAACTAGATCTCGACAGGTTACAGAGGTAGGCGGATGAGAATAGGATGGGATTCAATATGGACAAGTGCAAGGTATTCCACCTAGGGGGGAAGAACCAGCAGCATACCTACAGGCTGGGGAACTCCCTTCTCATCAGTGCAGAGGCAGAAAAGGATCTTGGAGTCACTATTGATTCCAAGATGAACATGGGCCGCCAATGTGAGCACACAGTCAGGAAGGCTAACCGCACCTTGTCATGTATTCATAGATGCATCACGAGCAGGTCCAAGGAGGTGATCCTCCCTCTCTATGCGACATTGGTCAGGCCACAGTTGGAGTAGTGTGTCCAGTTCTGGGCACCACACTTCAGGAGGGATGTGGATAGCAGCGAGAGGGTCCAGAGGAGGGCCACTCACATGATCAGGGGACAACAGGGCAGGCTCTACGAGGAGGGGCTATGGGACCTGAACCTATTCAGCCTCCACAAAAGAAGGCTGAGGAGTGATCTGGTGGCCGCCTACAAACTTGCCAAGGGGGACTAGCAGGCAACGAGGGAGTCCTTGTTCCCCTATGCACTACCGGGAGTAACAAGGAATAATGGCCATAAGCTGACTGAGACTAGATTCAAGTTAGACATCAGGAGGCACTACTTCATGATCAGGGCAGCTAGGAGCTGGAACCAACTTCCAAGGGAGGTGGTGCTTGCCCCTACCTTGGGGGTCTTCAAAAGGAGGCTAAACAATCATCTAGCCAGGGTCATTTGACCCCAGGATCCTTTCCTGCCCATGGCAGAGGGTCAGACTTGATGATCTGCCTAGGTCCCTTCTGACCCTACGAACTATGAAACTATGAAACCCACCTGTAGTGTCTGTTACATAGATTGGAAGAACTGAATCCCTTGAGAGTCTACAGTGGATGCCCTGCAATGGGTCCTTCTTTCTGAAGTTTAATTTATGGTACTGTCTTTAGTTTGTTAAAGTATCCTGTAATCCAAGGAGTTGTATTTTCTTCCTGTATCACCCAGAATGTTGTAGGTAGCCTATAAATATGGATACATATCTTTCCTAGAATGAATCTTTGGTACTTTGCCTGAAATATTATCACTGAGTTCTGAGTATCAATGGGATATTGTGCCTCACCCATTATAGTCTTAAGCCTTTAGTAAATAACAGGATGTGTGTCAACTGAGTTTTGCCTAGACCTATCTGAGTGTGGTTACATGAACAAGTTGCAATTAATAATGCTAGGGTGTGAATTGGGTGGAATTTTCCTTTGCAGCATTTAAAATGCCATCTTTTTAGCTTTCAGAAATGAAACTTACCCAGAGGGAGTGATTCCCTTTCCCAGGTGGTGTGGATTTGTTAATTGGCACGTAAGACATTTATACACATAACTTTTTGTCACGTGATGCTCCAGAGATCCATTGCTTTAGAGCAGACTTGTTTAATCGAGCATGCTCCACACGCGAGCTGATATACACTGCAGTGTGCTGCATGCAGTTGTATAAGTGGTGAAATGTACACTAGCGCACAAAAAATGGTGGCGGTGTTCTTTTGAATGAAAGCACCTTCTATGTGTTTTAGTTCAAAAGCATGCTGTCACCATTTTCTCAGCACTAACGCACATTTTGCCACTTATACAATTACAAGCGACGTAGCACTGGGTGCTTTTCAAAGCACCTGGTGCTGCGGAGCTTCCATGTGTAAAAATGCCCATATAGACTGCACATGTGTGGTAGACACTGGCTGTACATATGTGTCCATATATATACAACTGTTGTGGGCATAATTTCCAAAACAGTAGGTGGCCAGAAACACATGACTAATAGGCGTTAGATTCAGGAGGAAGAGGAGAGGCCCTCCTATGTTTCAGTCCCAATAGCTATGTGGTTGGGCCCGGCCCAGGAAACCAAACACATACTTTATAGGCCCCTCCTTGCCTAAAGGAGGTTGGAAACTGTGTCTCTGACTACCCATGATAGTGTTGTGTACCCATGATTATGGTCTGTCCACTGCTGCTGCCCAGGTTGCAGAAGCTGCTTTTTATACTTCTGGCTTTCTGTTGTGGGGGCCATGAATAACCAGCTTCAAAGGAATGTCAGGCAGGTTTCTTAATAATGATTGGTTGTATGGTAGTTAGAGTACAGTTCTGGGAAGTAGGAGATGTAGACTCAAACTCATTGTGGGTGAAGAGACGTAGGACCTGAGTCTCTTACTTTTGGGCGAGTACCCTAACACACCCACTTTATCCTGCAGTCATTTTTTCCCAAGGTGTGCACATACATGTGCATGTTAAAAGAACTTCGCTGGACCAAAATATAACTGGGGACCAAAAACGGTGAGCTAGAAAACTGATGTTTTGATGTGCAAAGGGAAATAAAATTCCATCGTTAGTGTGTTATCTACTCTGAGAACTATCTGCATGCATTCATGCTCATACTATCTGGTAAATGCAAGGCAGCTTGGCCCATTTTCATTGAGTGATAAGCTATCTCACATTTACAGTGGGATGCGTGTGTACATAATGAGTAGTTTCCACAGGGAAGCTAACATACTGAAGGTTCATTGTAGTTTAACTTACGGTAACTTCTTTGTGTAGCCATAAACTAATACAGTTTTTATGACACCATAAAAACATGTAACAATAATCGCATCTAATACACGGTGCAGAAATCAGATTGAAACAAACACAAGAGAGCAGCACTGATAAATTGAAATAATATTTGAAATATACAGGATTTGGGGCTGTATGTGGCATGCACATTATGAAGTGAGAAAAATATAGAAATCTATACCACAGTTGGAAATAAAAATCTACAGATAAACCATATTATTTAGGTTTAGGACAGTCATTTTGAAAATGACATGTTATTTTCACAGGAGCTATACCATCACTTCTTATTAGATATCTATATTTATATATCACTTACAGTAGAATCTAGTTAATCCACACTTTGCTAAACTGGGTACCTTGTAATCCTCATGAAAACTGGCAACCTCTTACCAATCATCAATAAAAATGTAATAGCTAATGCTGTGGTTAGGTCTCACATCACTAAGCTTCATTATTTTTTAGAAATAGTGTAGATCACACTTACTAATTTGCTAAGGATTGCTACCACAAATAACTAAAACTAAATGGCATCTGACAAAATTAATTTGTAATATGATCTCTAGGATTTTTATTTTTCACTTACTAAAAAGTAGTCATTCAGAGTGGAGTCTGTTATTTTATTTCTGTAATTTAGTAAGAATAGAGATATATAACTGAAGCTACTTACCATGAGAGTTTTGCAGGTGTAGTACATAGGAAAAGTACTTAATTTAGAATTGTTAATTGTCACAGTGAAACTCTTTTGTACATTTGCCATTTCCACCAACATATTCTTCTGCTAAGATAAACATAAGAATCTCCTTGTCCCCCAACTCTCTCAACATATATACACACACAATATAATATAATATAATATAATATAATATAATATAATATAATATAATATAATATAATAGTCTATGTGGTAAATTTTAATGCCATTTCTCATCTTGCTACCAATCCCACTGAAGTCAATTTATTTATTCCTGGAACAAGATGCTACTTGTGGCAAGTAAAAGAATAGGAATCCCACTCTAAATGTGTAAGGACCTCATTCTGTCAGCCACTGAAGCTCGATTGGTATAATAGAATAGGAGATCATGGGGGATATTCTGACCGTTAATGGATCCAGTCACCTTATATTTGCAGGTGACTGTTTGAAGAACATTCATGTTGCCTTCTGATTCTCAAGTACATAACTATTTTTAAAGAGTACATTTAAGAATTGACAAAGTAGCCATAAAACAACACACAAAGCTAAAGCAGAGATATATAACAACACACAGCCAAAAGAGAAATTAGAGAGTTGTAAATGTGTGTGTCCTCTGAAGTACATAGTGTTTTGCTTTACTTTCCTTCCACTCCTATCACAGCTTTCGGGTATCTTCAAATACTGCTATGTTAATTCAGAAACACCGAACAAAAGAGAACCAGAATAAATCACCTTCCTTACTAGTAGAGCTTTAAATACCAGCTTAATTGGTGCAGGGACAGGCCTTCTCAAATGTAAAGTCTGTGTTTTGTTTAATTTGATTGCCAGTTTCTGCCTGCTGCTTCGGACTTATGTTTTTTTCTCTTCTCTCTTATTTCTCTCAACAGAAAGTTGACCTTGCAGTTGCTCCTCTGGCCATTACGTATGTTCGAGAGAAGGTCATCGACTTCTCCAAGCCCTTTATGACTCTTGGAATAAGTATTTTGTACCGCAAGCCCAATGGTACAAACCCGGGCGTCTTCTCCTTCCTGAATCCTCTCTCCCCTGATATCTGGATGTATATTCTGCTGGCTTACTTGGGTGTCAGTTGTGTGCTCTTTGTCATAGCCAGGTAACATGTCAACTTTTGTGATTTTTTTGGCAATTGTTATCTTTTTTTTCTCACTAATAATTGTCAAAAGTCACAAATTTTTTTCTTACTTTCATATTCTCATATTTCACTTTGTGGTATACAGAAGAATAATGAATTATTAGGGTTTTCACAATTCTTTACAAAGTATAACACTGCTCTTCTAACTCCAGCATGCTGATTTTGTCACCAAGCAGTCAGTATGCCAGGTGACACTTGCTTTTTATTTACAAACTGAAAGACATTTGCAAGTCCTGTGAAATGTCTTTTCCTCTTTCTATGTGTTTCCTTTACATAGAAAATGACAGTTGTACTGTTTTTATATGATTTAGTTTGGTATTAAAGTTAAGTTAATCACTTTACTGCCTACAGCAAGGTTTATCCCTAACTGCTCAAATTAGGCCTTTAAGTGTAAGAAATATTAGCTTACTCAGGGTAGTTTGTATTCTCAGGAGGAAAGCAGTGGAATAATTTGTTTAAAATTTTTTACCAGGTAAATGCCCTGAAGTACAACATCTAATTTAAAATGCCAGTCTGGGATGCATTTGAAACTATGCTTAGCTGGGCTTGCTAGGGTCAAGGGCCTCAAAGCTGCAATTATGAAATCATAATGCAATCTAATACATAGTGCTCTCTTGATCTTTAATCATGCTATTTCCCATTTTCTTCAGTATTGTGTTCTCTCTCTGTTAATCTCAACAGCTCCAATAACAGTTCTGGGAAATGGGCGGATGTGGCGATGCTGCCCTTCCACTCTTCTCTTACGTGCACCTCATAACTCCCATTGTCAGAAAATCCCATTGTATGTTACCCTTTTGCTGCAAGGACTGGAATTAACCCCATATGCTCACAGAAAAGCACCTTATACCTTGTAACTTTGACTCCTGCTGTGATTACAAAAAATTACAGTCCATTAGAGAAACCAGTAATATCACTTCCTGTAACTTCATTTGCAGACTTCTACCACCTTGTTAATCATTTTTAAATCAGTTTATGAATAAAAATGTTTAAATAGATGGCTTTATCCATATGATTGCCTGGATTTCCCTAAAACTGTTAATCTTCAGCAACTATTTATATAGCATCTTTTTGTACTGAGAACAAAAATCTCATCAGTAACAAGGTTTTTATAATTTGATTTTTGGTGCACAGGTGGGCCTCCACAATCTTTTTTCTCCCTGTCTCTATACCCTTCTTATGCTGGACTTCATATCAAAGTTCTGTCTCTTCCTTTGATACTATCAGTTTCTTTTGTAGAGGTTGTGTCTGTTCTTTGACAGATAGAAAGGTAGTAATTGTGGATGCTGCTGATGCTTCATAAGTAATTCAGCAACAGCTACAGAAATCATATAGATGACACAATGAAATACTTGTTCCATTTTGTAAAGAATAGCTTCACTTATGTGCCTTCTTTAAAAGGCTGTTTTAAACCACCAAGCACTTACATTAGTATTTCCTGAAGGCACAAGAGACCTTAGTGGATTATATAAACTATTTATAGCTTTATTTCTGAGGGCGTCCTTTTATAGAGATAGTTGTGCACACACTATATGTTATAGTTTAGTATATGTGCACAAACAATATATTGGGAGGGGGAACTTTTCATGCAAAATATTTTATGTATAGGACCAAAACCCCTCACTTTGCCACAACAAGGACTTTCTTTAGTGTAATGCACAATGCTTTAGGCAATCGTCTCCCATTAATTTTACTATAAGCTATGTGGCTGAACTCTTACTCACCACTCTGAAAATATGTCCTACTATATCGTATTGGAAAGATGCATTTTCTGAATCTACAGACACATTATTATTTTTTCAGAAACTTTTTTTTATTATGCTATTCAGTCACTTTATCTCAGTCACTGAACTGGGAAGAATGTTTATTACCAAACAGAAACACCACATAGTAAAGTATTATTGCTGAACTTTTTTCACGTGTTTGTTTCTGGACTGGCACTATAAAATCCTGATGTACTTGAAAGTATTATCTTTGTCATAAAATAGTATAAAAATATACTGCACTGACTAGAGGATTGTTTACAGGTAGGGTTTTGTGTAAAATATCTGTTTATATCCAAGTTTACATCAGTCTTCAGAACTAGAGGTAAAATTTCAGCATCTGCTAACTTGCTCACTCACATGTCAGTACAAATCAAAGATGTAGGCAAGTGTAAGAAAGGATACTTGTTTCTTAAAACAGTAAATCTGTTTTGTTTTAACAATAGATATATGTCCTAGCATTCCTAACATAGTCATTTACACAGGGAAATATATCTACGTGATAATTTCTTGACAGTAGTAAAGACAGCACAATGTAAATTACAAAGAAATAAAACAGTGGATTTACAAAAGTAATATTCTCCTGTTTACATTGTAGGGCATATATTGTATCTGACATATTATAGTGACACAATACAGCATACATTATGGAATGTGTGTTTTCATTATAGTATACAGTACAGTGTAGGTGATGCTTTGTGTAATATATAGAATTTATGTGAACCACATGCATTTCAGTCATCAAAGTCAGGGCCTATATGGTACCAAATTACTAGGTTCCATCTAGATTCCCTTTGTAAAAAAAAAAAAAGATTTGGTTTCATAGCAACCCAGCTGTAATGAATGCCTGAGTCCCAGTATTTTATAATAATTGTTGTGTGTTTCACAATAAGGTATGTGCATGTTTGAAGCAGTGTGTAGAGTTTAGTATATCTTTCATGGTAAAACACAGGTAATTACACCTCATTAGACTTCTCACTGTGAATCATTATTTGTTAGACTTAGTCCTTTTTTGTTTGTAAACTGTTCCATGAACAGATCATGATTTGATTTTATTTTTTTAAATTCATAAATACTCGAATAGGCTTTATATTGCTTGCCAACCTGAAGAGCTTTCATGCATTTTTGCAATACATATCTATTTAACATGCTACGTTTGAAACTCACTATCCAAAGGGGGTCGCTCAGGGCATGTGATATATATTCTTTTCTCTGGTTGGATGACACAGCTTTAACTAATAGGAAAGAAAATGGGAAAAAGCAATATAGGGTTTGAGTGGCTTGGGAAGTGGATAATTAAAAAGTGACAAAGATAAATCCTAGGAATTTTTCAGTCTTTACCTGTCCTCTTTTTCACAACAAAGAATAGTATAGCTTGTAGCATACGTGGAATCCAGACTTCAATAACTGTCCCACATAGTTTATTCACAAGACCAAAAACCAGATTTACCAGCTATCTAGCAGACCTTTTTGTCTGAATTATCTCTGTCATAATCACAACAAATAACTTTTGTGTGTATGCAAACATACAGATGCAGCTTCATACAAGTCCCAAATTACTCATTTTGAAAGCTGAATAAAACCCTTTTTCTTTCTAATGCCATTGATAGCAACTTCATAGTAGCTTACCGAGTATTCTTAACTTATCAGAGCAGGATCCTGCTTTCCCTACTTTTCATGTTTTTTAACTCTATCTTGTTCTTCTCTCCCAGAAAAACCCTATCTCACCCCTTGGCTTTGTTATTTCTTAGATTGTTCAACAGCTTGCATAAAGGAGGAAAATAATCCTCACTGATGTTGAAGTACTTAACCAGCTCTTCATGTCATCATCTCTAGCTCTTGTTTCCTGTCTATCTGAGAGAAAGTGTCCCACAGATCTGCTGCATAAAAAATACAGTAAGAAACTTCTCCAAATGATCAGTTAGAACAATACACCATGTTTTAACTGGCATTTAAATACAACAATTAACCCTCCCCTCCACTTTAATGTTGCTGTAAACATCTCGTATCTCCAGATACATAATTGTGGATATGGAAAATATGACATTTTTTCACTGCCCTATATCATTCATTCCCTTAAAAATAAGTCATTTTGTACATTTAAAATTATAATAAACCAGTATGTTTTTATAGAATGACAAAATAATAATAATAATTTTATTGTGCAACTATTAGCTTTAACTCCTAGTTCTAGAGTCCATATAATTTGTGTTAGATGTCTTATTGGGATGTCTGAAAACCATATAATTTGAAGGTTCTGTATCTATTATCTCTGATGGGGGGCCATAGCAGACAGTGCTCTTCTCTTGAATAGCAATTAGTGATAGCTTGGTCACAGTGATCTCAGTCACTGTGGCTATTGAATCTGAATAAGTGAAGAACTTTGTCTCTTTCTTGCCCCTTTCTGTCTGACAGCTCATCACTGATTACTTGGTGTCCTTGACACTGAAATTACTTCATCTCTTTGAGTTTGAAAATCACCTGCCAACTCTGTTTTCTGGTGGCAACTATAATGGGTTTCTGACTGTATCTGGCTATCTAAGTCTTCATTTGATACAGCTGATATTTTATTTGATTCAAATAACACTATCTTCTCAAAACTGTGCTTGTTTTTTATTTGGGGGGAGGAGGTGATCAGTATTCTTGCTTAATTTTGAATTGAGGGATGATTAAGAAGAACTGAAAGATTCCAGTAAAATATTTTCGAATTTTATATATAGCTTTTTCTACTGAACAAGTGGCCTTCTCATTGACTAGCATTTCTCTAACTAGTTATATCCAGGGAGATTTCTTGCCAGGATTCTGCCTCCTGGGTACATAACCTTGTTCCGAGTTTTCTAATTACCTACTCCTGATTTCATGTTTTCCTTAGAAATCCTATATGTGCTTTTGTGTGCATTCTTTCAACTAGTGTAGATAAAACAGTTGTTGCCTTGTTTATCCCTGCAAAGTCTGGTAAATTATCTGAAAATTGAATGAAGATTACCCACACAACAGGGAATGTGGAGAATAACCAATTTCACTCTTCATACAGTAAAAAACATATGCTACTTGGTTTAAGTGTTTTTTCCAGATGGACTCTTGTTCCTCACCCTATCAATAATGTTTTGTTACTTGTCGGATTAGATTTCCTCTTGAGTGGTAAACTGTGGTATGAGAGTTTTGTAGTCCACAATTGGCATGGTCTCTCATACAATTCAT